GAGAGAGAAAGAAAGAAAAGAAAGAAAGAAAGAAAAAGAAAGAAAGAAAGAAAGAAAGAAAGAAAGAAAGAAAGAAAGAAAGAAAGAAAGAAAGAAAGAAAGAAAGAAAGAAAGAAAGAAAGAAAGGAAGAAAGAAAGAAAGAGGGAGGAAGGGAGGGAGGGAAGAAAGAAAAAGAAAGAAAGAAAGAAAGAAAAGAAAGAGAAAGTAAGTCAGTCCTAGCCTAGACCAGTGTCATGGTAATTTTTCCCTATGTTTATTTCTATTTGTTTTACACTTCTTTCTCCTTTTTATGACTGGTGCTTAGCCCATTACCTGGCACATCAGGACTCACTAAACACTTGTTGAAGGAGAAATGCTATGGTTTTAAATTGTAGTTTACTTATAATAAGTGACACATCCTGGAACCACACCACTCTCATGTAAAGGAACAAAGACTTCAAGAAATGGGTTGTACTAGACTCAAGAGTTTGTGTTCTGCTCCCCCTGCAGCCCCCATCACTGTGTCTCTCACAGCACAGAAGTACAAGGCGGAGTCGCTCACGAGGGCAAATGGTTTCTTCAGGTGGAAAGAGGTTTGGCTCTTATTAAATTCAGCCTCGAAGCCGCAGCTGCCTTTAACCAGGTTGTCCCCTGTGACGTATTTCAGAAGGAACTGGAGGCCTTGGTTGGGATATTGAACATACCAAAAAAGATAAGGGGTTCCAGAGACTGAATAGGTACATTTCACAGTCAGAGGATTCCCTTCGGCGACCGTGACCCGATCCTCCGGCTGAGCCACCGACTGAGCTCTCAGTCCACCTGTAAATTAATCCATGCTGCATCAGTGAAGCTGCTGGAAAGCATGTAAGTGGATCGCGCGAGTGGAAAACGGGAAGGGGACATTACTCACTCAATATGAAGAGCATCCCAAGCGTCGAGATGCGTGCAGAGCCCATGGCTCTGCTCAGTACACCTCTGTTGCAGATACGGCCCCACCCCAGAGAGTGGGCTCTTGAAGAGGGACCAGCACCCCTGTCGGCACAGGGGTTTTAGAAATGGCCCTGCCTCGGGGCCCTGGTGCTTCCCGGCACCAGTATCTTCTTTCTGTTGAGCACGCTTTTGGTCCAGCTCCTCAAAGCTCTGTGGGGAGCAAGACAGCTTGCTGCTCCTCCTGTACCCAAGACGGCTCTTACGCTGCATCGCCCCCTAGAGCCCACACATAGGAACAGCGACTTACCTGTCTGGTAGCTGGTGCTTCCTGGTCTCAACCCTGGGCCGACCTTCGGATGGTTACAGGCTCCATGAGGGACATACGGAGCAAACTAGGGATTCAAAGGAGAAACAGAAGTTTGTGAATCAAAGTGGGTAAGATTAAGGTCGAGTGGATCAGCTTGTAAATGATTTGTGCTCTCTTAAGATAATGCAGAGACAGAAACAAGGGAAATAGGATGGGAAAATGCACAGAAAAAGAAAGGAAAATACAGCTTTGCATCAAGAGGGGTGAAAATAAAAAAAGAGAAATAAGAAAAAGCAAATAGAAGAAAAGAGCAAGGCAAGAGGAGATAAGTGACAGGAGAAAAGAGGAGACTTGCTCTTCTCGTTAGAAGTAATTTAGAGCTGGCTTCTGTGTAAACCTCTGACCAAACGATAACTCAGACTGATTTTTCTCTAGGTTGGGTCTGTTAGGAGCCCATCCCATAATGATCTTTAGTGTCAAAAGAAACTTGAACTTTCTCTTTAAACATTTTTAGAAAGAGAGAAGAAAAAGGTGTTGTAAATATTTTTGAAACATTTGTCATATTAAACAGTAGATATAAAACAAAAAACGAAGCAATGAGAAGAGTTGCAAAATAGGTACTTTCCACATTACTTAAAACAGACTTCGAATGATGTGCATAGTCAGTAAAAAATGTATGCTTAACTAAACTTGAGGTATTATGATGGTGAAAAAGGGTGCATTGGAAGGGAAGGACAGGCTAAAGTTTTGTACTAAAAAAGGCCACAATAGCAGCAGAGTGATTATTTGATAGATTTTAATTTTGATGTAAAAAGTATGTATCAATATAAAGAAGTTGTTCCTCTGATTTGCCTTCTGTTTCTTTTGAATACTGTTCAAATAATGTTCACTATATATTCTGAGGAAAAGATGAAAAATCTCTTTGCTTTGATCAGAAAAAAAGTGAAACATAATTCTTTCTGAATGTTTTGCTAAAGATCTCCTACTTTACTAATTGAAACCTTAGCCATATAATGTCTTTCTTTGAAATTGGTAAGGTGTCTTTAAACAATGATCTTCAAGTTCCAGAGAGAGTTGTCATAAATGGAAACAGATAGTGAATTTCTCCTCTTTCTTCTCTCTCTGCCTCAAACCTAAAATGAGTGTTAGTGCTGCCTTTTTGAGGGTCCTGGCAATCAACACAAGAAAATCATTTTTTTAAAAAAGCTTAACCAAGAGAATATTTTTAAATGTATGCGCAAAATTTAGGGAAGACTACAAGAGAAGGTGAAACACCTGGGGCTAAATAACAGCCGGAAGATTTCACCACTCCTATGCCCAAAGGGACAGGAGAAGATGAAATTACCCTAATCTCAGGACACCTGTAACTGAGGGAGAATACACCCAACAGGAGCTGTGGACTTCAGTAAAGAAAGGATCCTAGAATACAAATATCTTGACCACTCTCTCCTGCTAATACCTCCCACTGGAGTAAACCCAACCAGAAGCAAAGGGACTGGGAGACCAGTCAGCACAACATATAGAAGTCAGCCTCCTGGGGTACAAAGCAGGACAGAAAAGACCTGAAGAGGAAAACAGAGAATGTCCAGCCACCTGACACTGGAGTTTATTGCTGCCCTACGAATGCATGTGTGAGCATAGCTATACTGCATTTGACCTACATAAAAAGGCAAAGTAAGTTTAACTAAAGCAATAGTCTGGTATAGGCTTTAATGCCTTGATTACTTTCTAATCCCTACTCTCTCTGTCCTCTATAGATACAGCACACAAGATTATGCCTAGATCATGCAAGTGGCTCAGATTTTGTTTGACTTCATTCATTTAACGATTAATGTCAAGAGGCACAAGTGAACTAAATCTTTAAGAGACTCATCTTTTTAATTTTTTTCTAGAAATTGTTGATTGTTTAGTGGTTCCCGCAAAGTGTACTTATAGAAGGAACTAACCATGTTTATTAATTAAGCATGTTCAGCAATATAAGAGGAAAGTTTTCCTCTGAATTTATATCATGGTTACAGCTTATGGGCAGCCATTTTCAATGACAGAAATGTTGCAGAACCCTTAATATTATTATTATTATTACTCAAAACTAGGAAAGTTATTCTTCATGTTTGCTTCCATTTAAAGAATTGACTCTTAACTGCTGAGCAGGTAGGGAAGGATTCAGGGACATCCACAGAATGACCTGCACACAGTTACCAGCAGCACCCAAAGAATTCCTAGGGCATAGACTGAAATTTCAAAATTGAACAACATAGCCTCAGTAGCTATTCAGCTTATCTCCTTTGATTTATGAGATTAATGAAGAAATTATTCATCAAATGCCCCTGTGAACATAATATTAAACACTTTACATTCCTCGTCACATTTATTCTTCTTAAGACGCCCCATTTTAGAGACAAGGACACCACAGTTCAGGAAAATTGAATAATTTGCTTATCACCCTAAAGGAAAAAGAACAAAGATTTTTAACCCATATTTTACTGACTTCAAAGGCATTTTCCACTAAGTCACACAGTGAGAATATCAATTTTGGTCATTTACTCTCTATTAAAGACAATATAATATTGGAAAGTAGCTTCCTTATCATAAAAAAATTACACAATCCATCTTGAATAGGTTAAACAGAGCTTTAAAGGTCATATTGTCATTTGAATGCATTATACCAAATGCTGATCCCGCATGTGTATGCCACTGAACCAAAACAACTGCTGGATAGTTAATTCTAAATCACCAACACTCAAAGACTATCCACCTTCTCCTACACCTCTTGCTCACTGCTGTGCCGGTACAGGTTTATGTACAGAAAGTTTGATCAAAATTTGACTCTATCTTATCAATTTGCCATATGTGCCCCATCTGTATCACATTTTAGCCATTCTGTCCAGCTCTTCGATTTCTGTTGAAAGAACCATGACATTCACGGAAAGTTGACATGAACTGTTTCTCCAAACCGTAGTAAACTGGGTGTAGTGCTGTCCATTTAGAGGTCGGTCAAATGCGAGATGGGTGAGCCAATGGGGAATGTGCCCAAAATGCTGCAGGTAGATGTCTGTGCTCCCCTCAGGATAACTTCCTTTACTCCTTAACTGAACTACCACTGAGACATGCACATCACAACGCAAGGACAATGAAAGTAGCATAGAGCACTGTCAAAGAGTATCAATCTGAGACTCCAGGTGCTTCACCAAGGCTGCCAATGCCTTTCCCAAGAAACTACTTGCAAGCATCAGAACTCTAGCATGGCATCATGGCACATGCCTATAGTCACAGCTACTTGGGAGGGTGAGATGGGATGGGGGTGGGAGTGGGATCCCTTGAGACCAGGAGTTCAAGGTAAGCCTTAGCAACATAAAAAGCACTGTTTCTTTAAAAAAAAAAAAATCAGAATTCTGTAAATCTCACTGATTACCCAAGACAAGAAATGACTGATGTAAACTAATGACAAAGCCCTTTGCAAATATTAGACTCTGAAATGTAGATTGTATTTATTTTAGAAGTATCAAAGAAAAATCAACACAAAATAAAGTTGTTAGAACAGATAGAAGTCAGTGCTTTTTCCATGAAACTGACAAAAAATACAGTTCAACTAAGCCAATCATACTTCACATAAGGAACTCTCAAAAGAAAGATGTAGGCAAATCTGCAGTTTGAACTTCTGCCCTCCTACCTCCAAATAAAAGAGATCAAGAATCAGTGGCCATCCATGTCTCAGTGGACTGAAAAGATTTGTTTAGTGTCTCTGGGTTTAATATATTTACCTTGCCTCACCTTGACCCAGTTTCCTCATTCTTTTCTTGTAGTTTAAAATAGATCAAGCCACATCTGAAGTGTTTTGTTAAGTTCTAAGAATTCTATATTAAGAGAAATACAAGCCAACTGGAAACTGTTCCAAATGTACAACAAAGAAAGAAATCAAAATTGTAGAATATATATATATATATATCTTTATTTATTTATTTAGCATATATATATATATATATATCATGGTTGGGATAACTTGCAAATATTTAATATGGAAAAAAACTACTCAGTGGAAATGTATCTGGTTCAAAATACGTAAAGGAGAAATGTGAACTGTTTCAGATTCCCAAAGGTGTAAAAGCCACACAGATGTTTCCTCAACATAAAGAATAATTGCTTTTCAATTCACAGCTGCTAGGAGTTTGAATGGACAGTATGGGAGCAACAAGAACCCTGCTGCAAGAAGCTGTTGTGAAAATACTGGCAATTCCCTTGACGTGATGCTGCTGAGAAAATCAAGCATCCCATGGGAAGATGGTCTAGACTGTTTTTTAGAACTTCTGAGAGTCATGCTGTTTTCTTTTTAGTTTTGTGTCTTTCTGTTGGAGAGAAGCTCTGAGGATGTGTTTTGTTTTGTTTTATGAGACAGGAATAAAGAAAAAACCATACGATTGGCAAATTATAGGCACCCAATAAATAATTGTCAGATGATTGAAACTTTAAATAAGTACACAGAACTAGCAGAAATTCATGTAATGAGAGGTCATCTTATATGCTGAACCCCAAGCAAAGGAGTAAGAGCTCTGTTTCCCTTCATTCATCACCAATGGTTGTCCTTTGCAGAGAGAGTTTCCCATCCAGGGATTTACTTAAGAACAACCTTGACATCCTGACAATTCCAGGAGAAAGCCCTGTGAGTCACCTGATCCTCACAAATCACTTTTCAGTACCTGTCAAATATAAGATACCATTTGCATTGAGAAATAAACAGAGGAACAAGACATAATCCTTGCCCTCAAGAAACTTGCCATCCATTTTGGTAAATGAACACTTACCCAGGGGAAAGACTATTAAAAATCTGAAGTAAAATGTGCAAGAATTTTATCAATGGAAAAATCATTACAGATATTTCTTGCAAATCAGAAAAGAAAGAGTTTCACAAAGTTTAAGACATTTAGCCCACTAGTTAAAGACCAAGTTAGTCTAGTTAGTTCATCCTGTAGAAGGGACAGGGATGTGCTACACAAGGTGATTCCCCTGCCTGCAAGAAAAAAATCATAACATTTAGTATTATATTTATCTCAAACTTTCCAAATTTCTGCTTTTGTTTGTTACGCACATTATCATAATCTATGAGCATATAAATACGCATATATTGGAGGAGTAACATATAACATATTTTACTGATAATAGTACACAGTCAAACACTTTGGGGATCATTGTACTATAGTAGCGCAGACAAGGGAGAGGGTCCTCAGCTGAGGCAGTTATAGGCGTTGGGCTAGAATCTGAATAAAGGTAGAAAGAGGGCATTTCAAGCAGAGAAAATAATCTGATACAACTCATACAGGAGACAATGCCAACAGGTCTTAAAGGATAGAGAATAAACTTATTTGGTGACCCAAAGAAAAAGAGGATGTGGTAGCAGAGAGTAAAGCAGAAAAGTTTCATTGGGTTCATAATATGGCAGCTTTACTCAGCAGCGGGTACCTCTATTTAGATTTGCTGTTTTTTCTTTTTCTTATATATAAAATTAAAAAGCATGAAGCATTTTATTTATGAAATAGTAAAATCAGAGATACATTTCAAGGTAATCTGGTAAAAGAATGTAGAACAGCAGGAGAGAAAATGGCTATAGAAGATTATGGAAAAATTCAGTTAAATACTAGAACAATGATTATGCAAAAGATGTTAACAGATGAATTTGTGAATGTTTATGTGTATTTTTGAAATCTTCTGTTTTATTGTTCAGATGTTCAAAAATGAGTCCAAAGGGAAGACTATTCATCCATGAGAGTTCTACTGAGAGTGTCTTCCCCTTATGTGGTTTTTCTTTGTTTTTTGTTTTGTTTTGTTTTGTTTTGTTTTGTTTTGAGACGGAGTTTCGCTCTTGTTACCCAGGCTGGAGTGCAATGGCGCGATCTCGGCTCACCGCAACCTCCACCTCCCGGGTTCAGGCAATTCTCCTGCCTCAGCCTCCTGAGTAGCTGGGATTACAGACACGCGCCACCATGCCCAGCTAATTTTTTGTATTTTTAGTAGAGACGGGGTTTCACCATGTTGACCAGGATGGTCTCGATTTCTTGACCTCGTGATCCACCCGCCTCGGCCTCCCAAAGTGCTGGGATTACAGGCTTGAGCCACCGCGCCCGGCCCCCCTTATGTGGTTTAAGACAGTATTATCCCTTTTACCAAAGTCTTCATCATTACATACATGTCCAAGAAAGCAAAGTTTTTATGTAAGGGATATAATTTCAGTACACAAAAACAGATGCTCAAGAAGGGCAAAAAACATAAAAAACCTTTATTTTTCATAACTATGATTAACTTCTATTTAAAGCTATATTCTACCAGGTATCAGAAAACAAATCTCAGTCAAATCCGTTTTCCTACATTTTCCTGAGATTACATCCAATTTCTGCACAATTTATGTAGTTCCAAGGTATCACTGGGAAAATAAATGTAAACTGAACCTTGAGATCATTATGTGTCTACACAAGCATCTGCCAAATATTTTAATTCACATCTGAATTTCAATCTGCCTACACAGTTTATTGCCTTGTTCTTGTCCTAACTATATCCATGCTCTCTCAAGCCTCTAAAAAATACTATATTTGTTATATTTTAAGTTCTGGGGTACATGTGCATATTATTTTTGGTGGAATATGACATTGTTCCATATCACAATTGTTTTTATGTAATGGATTTTTTAAAAATAAAATCACTAAGTTAAATTTTTTTTTAAATACTACATTTTTTATATTTTCTCCCTGTGCCTCTTCACATTGTCTTCCGTCTATACATGCCTGTCTTTGTGTTCAAATCTCCACTGTTTGTAAGGATGCCAGTCATTATTGGCTTAGGGCCCATCCTAATGACTTCATTTTAATTGTATCACCACTATAAAGATTCTATTTCCGAATAAGTTTGCATTCTGAGGTACTGAGGGCTAGGACTTACCCATGTCCCCTACCCAAAAAAACATCCTTTGGGGGGGCAGGTAAAGGGCATGGAATGTAATTGAATTGATAACACTAATCCTTGGAAGAAAATGAAAGTAACACAGTCTTACAAATGCCACCCATTCTCTGTGGCACCCTGATTTTCAGAAGGTACAGGAGGTTACCATAGGTGGTTTTCATGGCCCCATCAAAGAAAAAAAGTAGCAGTGAAGTCAGAGGACATAGGACACAGTAGCAAGTCATGGCAAGCCTTTCAAATCTCATGGAGCCAGTGGCAGACACAGATACCCTTCGGAGGAGGTCCTCAGACAGTTGAAGAGTTCAGGTGAGCCTAGATACTGCCCCCAAGAAAACTTCACCATCAGTGCAGACAAAACCAGCAGCTGACAGAACAGACCAATTCAGAGACCTCAGACAGCTCCCCAGCATCACGTGGGCCTGTTTGGTGAGCGCTCCAGCTCTGCTCTCCATCTACAGTCTCAGGATCCCTACAACAGCTTTTCACCTAGAGATTCATACCTCCACTTGCATTTGTTTTTAGTTTAAATATTATGAAGGAGATTCCATTTTACTAATGTTTCATATTCTCACTGACTGGCACCCTCAATGAGACTGTATGCTAGATTATAAGCAAAGTATCCTGAGCTAAGGATTGAGGTTCCAAATGCAGGGCTGCTGGGAGCAGCTACTCGCTCATTCATTCCCTTCTCACTTCTTATTACATTACCGAGTGTTAACTAAACCACCCTTTACAAAATGGATACATGTTTTGAAAATACTGCTGCAAAGAGACTGAAGCTAGCAGATAATATTTAAAAGGTAAGCACAGAGAGCAATAAGAAAATGAAAGAGTTGAATGGGCCTAGTGGCTCACACCTTTAATGGCAGTGCTTTGGAAGGTCAAGGCAGAGGATCACTGGAGGCCAGGAGTTAAAGGCTGCAGTGAGCTATGATCATGCCACTGCACTCAAGCCTGTCTGAATTTTTAAAAAAGAAAAGAAGATGGAAGAGTTGACATGCCTCTTACTACTATCAGAAGTTCATCGTCAGCCATTTTATGAGGGAAAAACAAAAATAATGTAATCAGATCTCATAAAAGTGAGTCAAAAGTGTTTCAAATATCAAGATGACTATTTGAAATAATCACTCTTTTAAACCATATTTTCGGGGCCAGGTATGTTGGTTCACACCTGTAATCCCAACACTTTTGGAGGCTGAGGCAGGAGGATCACTTGAAGCCAAGAGCTCGAGACCAGTCTGGACAACAGAGAGAGAACTCATGTCTACAAAAAGGGGGAAATTCACTGGGCATGGTGGCACGTGCCTACAGTCCCAGCTACTCAGGAGGCTGAGTTCCAGCTACGCTTGAACCCAGGAGTTCTAAGTTAAAATGAGCTATGATCATGCCACCGCACTCCAGTTTGGGTAACAGAGCAAGACCCTGTCTCAAGAGAAAATTAATAAAATTAATAAAAAATTTGAAAGCATATTTTTATAGACATCCACTAATATACAGTGTGTCTGGACTCAATTTTTTTTCTAATAGCAATGCCAAATGAAAAAGCTTGGGTAACACTGAATTAAGAAGGGAAAAGTTATTGCTCATCTCTGTTTTGCCTTGTGCAAAGGCCATGATCTCTGTTTCTGTTCAGCTCTTCATGGGTTCCCTGCCTCTGTGCCCTCCACAGCACAGTAGTAAACAGCAGCATCTGCCCCCTGCACTTGGAGGATGAGCAGTGATGAAGAGAACCGTTCATAGGTCATGTTGTATCGTCCCTGCTGAGAAGGCCTTGAGCCCTTAACAAGGAGTCTTGGTGCACGTCCCGGGAAGTGAAGGTACCAGAAGAAATCGTAAGCATTGGACACAGAGTGATTACAGAAGATTTCCGCCACAGCTCCCTCTGAAGATGCCACTGTGGAAGGCTGAGACACTTGGTCCTTGCTTTCTGCAACTGCATTAAACAAAGAGGACTGTCACTTGAATGCTGCTATTTGACTTGTTGATTGACCGTTAGGTACAATGACTATTAGACCTGACCTTTCTGTTTCTCAATTAAAAATTAGTCCAAATTTTAAAACAATTTCATGCACTTTTACAAAACCAAATTGTGATGAAGCCTACTCACCCTTCCACAGAGAATTGAGGAGAAGCCCCAGCCACACTGCCCACAGAGTGCTTTGTAAAGCCATGGCCAAGCCAAATGCAGCTGGTCTCACCAGAAAGCTTATTTAAGACTACCTGTTTTGCATTTTTCACTCTGTGTCAGTGACATCATCAGCCAGAATCTACAACCTTTAGAAGGATTGCTACAGTTGTGAGGCTGCTTAGTAATGACTTCACTGTGCTTTGTTCTGAGAAATTAATCTTAAAAGGAATGCACCCTTTATAAGGTCACTGTGGTTGTAAAAATTTAGTATTCAAGGAGTTTCCTTTCTTCTCTAAGGATATTAGGAATCACATAATTAATCGGGTACTGCTTTATCGTTCAAATTAAAGTGATATATTCACACAAAAAGTAGGCTAAATCCCATCACATATGACATGATGACCTGCTAATGTGTTTAAACAATGAGCATGAAACATTAGTAACCGCAGTAGATAAGAAATGAATTTTGTAAGGTACAAAAGTTACTGTGTAAAAATACTGATCAAAATTTGACTCCTTGCATTCAAGGTGATCTTTGGAACAAATATGGGGAAAAAAATGTCAGTTGTACTTTTTCTGTAAACAAAAGAAACAAAAACACATTTGGAGACAATCTCTTTTGGTATGGTACCTGTCCTCATTTTGCAGCCTGACGCTGTTATTGTTATTAATATAGGGCTTACTACAAAGCTCTCCCTTCAGCTTTTATTATATTGTATAGGTTTCCTTGGGCTTTTACTTGAAAAGAAAGAGGAAACGCAGTTTGTAGCAATTCAGTGTTTACACAGTAGAGTTTTTATGTAACCTCCACCACCTAGTGGACTACATGGGAACTGATGAAAAATAATTTTCCCCATGCACCCTCTAAGACAAGTGTTCACAGCTTCTCATATCTTTAAGAGATTTCATGTCCTTTGCTTTTGTTAAAGTTCCTCATCCTTATCCAATGTCCTTAGGAATATGAAGGCTATCCAGAGAAAATAACTGCCTTTTGGGAAAGCTTTCTGATTACTAAAAGATGTTTTTCATTCAGGTGAGTGGCTATTCATCACGTACTTCCATGGAGCAACATATATCTCTTCCCGTCTTCAGATGGTTGCTTTATGCATCCCCTTACCTTTCTTTAATAGTCTCCTAGGTCAGAGGAAATCTATTTCTTTTCTAATCTTTTCTCTTTTCTTAATGAGAGAGTCCTTAATAATGATGAAATGGGCTGGGAGTGATAGCTCATGCCTGTAATCCCAACACTTTGGGAGGCCAAGATGGGTGGATCGCCTGAGGTCAGGAGTTTGAGACCAGCCTGGCCAACATGGCGAAACCCTGTCTCTACTAAAAACATAAAAATTAGCCGGGCCTGGTGGCAGGTGCCTGTAATTCCAGCTACTCAGGAGGCTGAGGCAGGAGAACTGCTTGAACCCAGGGGGGTGGAGGTTGCAGTGAGCCAAGATCAAGCCACTTCACTCCAGCCTGGGCAACACAACAAGACTCTGTCAAAAATAAAATAAAATAAAATAGTAAGATGATTGTTTAGGTCCAACAGAAACCTTTTATTTCTATTTATGACCTCAAAATCTTCCAATTAAAATACAGAATTCCAGTATGGCTCTAAAATGAGGATAGAACAATCCAAGGGAAGTGGTCACAGAGATATTTAGTGGAAGGACTAAAACAGCTACTATGATTAATTTGAGCTCTGAAATTTCTGACAACCAAAACACAGAGGGGAACACAAAAGTGATACAATTTTACAAGTATGCTGACTAAGCCTTCAAAGTAGCTTCTTACTGAAGCCAAGTAGTATGGAGCTATAGATAACTTAAAACTCTTTTTAGACACTGGTTATGTACTTTTGATTCAAAGTAACTGCTGCACAGTATTTCAGCATGCACCACACTTACTAAGTAAGTGTGCCAATCCCCTAGTGATGGAATTATAGGCTACCTCTAACTCCTTCAAACACAGCAATTAACATAATTTTTACATTTCACCTATTTACTATGTGAGAATTTATTTGGTATATGTACACAGCAAGTATTGTTCAGTCATAGCACATACACATACTCGATTTCACTAAGGTAATGACTGAAAGTAGCCATAGCCACTTACACTTCTACCAGCAGTGCATGAGCATTCCAGTCTTTCCATAACCTCAACAGCACTTAGTATTATAAAACTATCTACTTTTATCAATCTACTGAGTACGGAATCTCAACTTGTATTACTCTAATTATTAGTCAAATTGGGCCATTTGCATTTCCCTTTCCCATGTTGTCTATACAAATGATTTCCCACTTTGAAATTAGACCTCTAGTTTTTCTCAGTAAATCATAAGTTTCTCATATATTAATTTTTTGATGTATCCAAAATCACAAGTTCCTTCCATATTAGAAAAGTTTATTAGCTTTGTCTGTGGTGTCTTTTTTTAATGGAAATCCTTAATTTTGAAGAAATCAACATTATCATTTCTTTTTACCTTATTGAGCTTTAGGGATCTTGATTTAGAAATCATTCTTCACCCCAAAGCCACAAATACATTTTCTTACAGTGTATTTATCATCTCTGTAGATGTGTCTTTTACATTTAGGTTTTAATTCATCTAAAATTTACATCTGTAGAAGACTCAGCTACTTTATTTTTCTCCATAGAGAAGGACAGCTGTAACAGCACAATATACTAAATAATCCACAATTCCCCACAGATTTGTGGCATCATCACTATATAGATGTTAGGGTTACCTATGAATTTGATTCACAAAGTTACCTACTGAACTTCCTGAGTTTTATATTTATCTTATTGTTTCATTCAGCCATACTACTATACTATTTTTACCATCTTGGCTTTAGCAAGATCCCCTTTCTGTCAGTCAAATATTCAGATGTAATTTAATAAAATCCACTCAACTAATTTAAGCAAAAAAGGAAGATATTAAGATATATTAAGTAGATCACAGACTCTCCAGCAAAGATAGGCAATGAGAATTCAATGCTATACAGCCAAAAACAATGTTTATGCACAGTACAGGAATTATCTAATCAATCAAATCTCACACTACTCAGCCTAACACTACAAATTCACTCAGCCAGCAACAAGAACACTCAGTACTGCATATACAAAGTCCTTCTATTGCTGTCCAAAAAGTGCTAGGCATGATCCCTGCTATATTAGCCTTTTCTTTCATTGCTATAAAGAAGTACCTGAAACTGGGTAACTTACAAAGAAAAGAGGTTTGATTGGCTCACTGTTTTTCAGGCTTTACAGGAAGTATGATGTCATCTGCTCAGCTTCTAGGGAAGCCTCAGGAAACTTACAGTCATGGTAGAAGGCAAAGGAGCAGCAGGCGCATCACATGGCAAAAGCAGGAGCAAATTGGGGATGGGGGGCCACACACTTTTAAATGACCAGACCTTACAAGAACTTATTATCACAAAGAAAACACTAAGCCATGAGGGATCACCCCCCTACCCAAGATCCAAACACATCCCACCAGGCCCCAACTCCAGCACTGGAGATTAAATTTCAACATTTGAGTGAGGACGAATATCCAAACAGTATCATCTAATGTATACACTAAAGGATACATCTGCAAAGGTACCACTGGAGGAAAATGAAGAGTAGCACTGATAATGGCTATCCCTGTCTTGCTTCTGACCAAAAGGAAATGCAGCTACAATGTTTCCATTATTGAGGCTTCCTTTATAGCCTAATACAAGCCCAATTTTTTAGAATACCCCATTAGTGCTGGAATAGAGTGTGTATTTTCTGTACACCCCACAAGTTCCTTTTGAACATATTTCAATCCACTTCTATCTCTAAACTTCTGCCTCTACAGGGGGCTCAAAATCAGTATAAGGAAAACAGATGGTATGCCTTCCTCCTCCACTATTTTCTTATCTTCACCTTAGCCTCTTTACTCACTCAAATTTTCTCTCCTCTCTACAAGTTACAAAAAAATAGGTCTCATTTATGAAAGGAGAAAAACTAATTCTAATTCAAGTGTGGAGAGACAAAGAAATAAAAAGGATGAAGATGTTGGTGATTTCACAAGCAGCAGCCAGCCAAAATGTCACTGTATAGCTTAAAAAGACATTTTGAAATGATCTATAGCCAACTTACCTAGGACTTAAATATAATATATATAACAAGACATAATTCTAATTCATTTGAATTCCTCCAAAGTTCTAAGAGAATTTCATTGGTTTAGGACAGTGATTAGAGAAGAAAATAATACCAAGTAGGATTCAAAGAAAAAAGAATAGGCTTATTAGCACAGGGAGAGGCATCTGGAGATGGGGTGGGAGATGAGTAAAGGGAAAAAATGGTAAAACCCCCAAGATGGCAAAAAGTAACATATAAAAAAAAATGGAACTTTATCTGTCAATTCTTCAAATAGACTCAGATAAAGTCTATTAAAAATTAATTACTTGCTATAATTGGATTTTGTGGGAAATGATGAAGAGGCTGTGCTCTAGGATGCAGGTTGACTGAGGCATGACAGAATAGCATGAATGAGGTCAGTGGGAATAGCAGCATAACAATCAAAAACCACCTCTTCATAAAGGCAAGGACAACACTGGCCAAAAAAACTGTCAAAATAACTTCTTGCCCACCGCAGTGGCTCATGCCTATAATCCCTGCATGTACTTTGGGAGGCTGAGGAAGGCAGATCACTTGAAGTCAGGAGTTTGAGACCAGCCTGGCCAATATGGTGAAACTCTGTCTCTACTAAAAATACAAAAATTAGCTAGGTGTGGTGGTGTGTGCCTGTAATTCCAGCTACTCAGGAGGCTGAGGCGTGAGAATCACTTGAACCTGGAGTCAGAGGTTGCAGTGAGCCGAGATTGTGCCACTGCATTCCAGCCTGGGTGACAGAGTAAGACTCTATCTCAAATAAATAAATAAACAAATAAATAACTTTTTCTGAACTCTGGAAATTAACAAAAGACTTAAATAATTCAAGAAGCATTTACTCAAGAAAACTGGCTATATCTAGATAAAAAGAGTGAGCAGCAACTTTGTGGTGTTTTAACTTGCCCTGTTCTCTTCCTCTCCCCAGCTCTCCAACAGTCTTGAAAACCAACAACACTGCCATAATGGTGAGAAACAGCAGCCCTGAAGCCAGTAGAATGGGCAAAGCTGGTTTGGAGCTCCC